AGGTCCCTCACCAGCAACAAGAGAGTTTTAACCAGTTTTATCCCATCGACTTGTCTGAGCTTTTAAAAACAGTATCACAAATGAGAGTGTCCTCCAGCCCACTTGATGTAATACCTACAAAGTTTTTACTGAAATTAATAGATTCTGTTGGGCCCCATTTAATCTCTGTTTTCAACAGCTCCCTATCTACTGGTTGTGTCCCTGATTATTTTAAAACGGCTTGCGTGAACCCATTTTTAAAGAAACCTGGTTTAGATCCCTCCCTCCCACATAATTTTAGACCAATTTCAAAACTGCCTTTTATTGCAAAGATTCTAGAAAGAATTGTGTCCAAACAGCTGCTCACTGTACTGGAAAATAACAAATTATTTGAAAAGTTTCAATCTGGTTTCAGGAAGTACCACAGCACCGAGACTGCCCTGCTTAAAGTCACCAATGACCTTTTAATGTCTGCTGATGAAGGTATGTGCTCAGTCCCGGTACTCCTGGACCTTAGCGCTGCTTTTGACACCATTGATCACAACATCATGTTAGACAGACTGAGGCACTGGGTGGGGATCTCTGGTACTGCCCTAGAATAGTTTTCATCCTACCTGTCAAATAGGAAGTTTTGCGTGTCTGTTGTTGAGTAAGAATGTATCATTTATCCAACTTAATACATTTCATTTATCCAGAATGTATCATTTATCCAACTTAATACATTTCATTTATCCAGAATGTATCATTTATCCAACTTAATACATTTCATTTATCCAGAATGTATCATTTATCAGTATGTTATGCCTTGTGTTTTTCAGACAGAGTGTTAAACTGAACTTTGAGGTGCCGCTCTACTCTCTGCATAAGACCAAAGTTGACAGGCCAAGAGATATGACCCTCTCATAAGTGTTCAGTGGAATGTGTGTAATAGGGATGTGTCAAAAAAGGGCATGCAACTAAAAGCATATGCATCTGAGATTTACTGTAGGACTTAGATGCTACTCGGTGGGAGAGGAGAATAGATCGTGTACCCAGATATTATATCATTTCGGGGCCTCATATCTATGACAGAAGGTATGCGGATGGAGACATAGATCTCCATACCTGTGAATATACAGTTACGGAGATATAGATCGTTTATTAAAAAACAGGGCCTATAAATTTGGAAGCTACTGGTATATGACCAGAGACGCTCTTAAGGGGGCCCAAACTCTGGGAAGTGCCTGACCCGAGAGTTTACTGGTGTCTTATAACACATATGTCTTAAAATTTTTATAACTACGAAATAGTACCCTCAGATAATGTGTTTTTACAGTTAACTGACAATAAAGATGAATTAATGTTTTTAAGAAGAACAGAAGAATTAGGATTTTAAGGGAGTATAATATTACAGGAATGGGGTTTTTAAGATGGTAGTAAAAGAAAACATCAAAGAAGAGATTTACACCAGTAGAACTAATTAATGGCCACATTAAATTGAAAAATAGGCAGGTATCTCGCAGGGGCCCCACTTCCCTGGGGAGAGCCCAGGGCTATATAATGAGAAGCTCCACACCATGTTTTCAGTGTGCCTTACCGGTCTGCTAAGGCATGCTCGGGTTTTGTCTTCCTTTGACAATAAACTCTATTGTATTGATCTCTGACCGTCTCCAGTAACTTCTTTCGAACTCCAAGTGTTCTCTACCAGCAATACTTGTTAAGTATTGAGGACAGATCTGGACTTCCAGCGGGCCTGAGTCTAGCATTTTGTCCCTCTACACTGTAAACCCTATGTCTCTTTGTTCTGTCCAGTTAAAAATGTTGTGCCTCAGGGGTCGGTCCCATTTTGTTTTCCTTGTATCTGCTTCCCCTTGGACATATTATCCATAAACATGGTATTTCTTTTCATATTTATGCTGATGTACTTGCCCGTCAGATCCACAGACCCTGGAATGCTGAGTCACTTAACAACTGCCTTTGTGAAGTTAAAAAACGGATGTCAAATAATTTCCTCCAGCTGAACTCAGACAAAACAGAAATCCTGGTCATCGGGTCCCAGCAGATGGCAAATCAAATACTGCCATCTGCTGGTTCCCTAGTAAATCACATTAAGCCTGTTGCAAAGAACCTTGGTGTTTGGTTTGATAGTAATTTAAATTTCGAGCAGCACACCACAAAGCTTGTTCAATCATATTTTTATCAACTTAGAAATATAGCAAAAAATCGATCTATGTTAACTTTTAAGGACACCGAGACCATTTTACACGCCTTCATCTCATCACGCCTGGATTATTGCAACAGCCTTTTCACCTTTTTAACCCAAAAATCTATTGATCGACTCCAGACTGTCCAGAACTCAGCTGCCAGGCTTTTAACCAGAACAAAGAACCACATCACCCCTATCTTAGCTTCATTACACTGGCTCCCAGTATGTTTTAGAATTGACTTGAACTGAAATTTTATTGATCACTTTTAAAGCTCTTCATGGTCTCTCGCCTTGTTATATTCTTGACCTTTTAGTCCCATATGCACCAGCACGTACCTTGAGATCCTCGGGCAGAGGTCTGTTGTCTGTTCCAGAGTCTCGACTGAAAACTAAAGGGGACAGAGCGTTTGCTGTCAGGCCCCCGAGGCTCTGGAACAGCCTGCCCGAGGAAATCAGGTCAGCTGAGTCAGTGAACTCTTTTAAGTCCCTTCTTAAAACATACTTTTATAGGAGAGCCTTTCCCGATCTTATTTGACTTTATTTTATCCCTTTTATTCTATTTTACTTATTTTATATTTATCTTAAACATGTATTTTAGTCTTTTAAATGTTTTCTTGTATTGCTTTTGTATTATTGTATTTTGGGTATTATTGTCTTTACACTTGTTAAAGCACTTTGTAACTTGTTTTTGAAAAGTGCTCTACAAATAAAGATTATTATTATTATTATTTGTGAGCTTGATTGTATTACATTGCTGTCTATGCTTGGAGAACCATGCTGGAGGCTTGCCTGAGCTGGATTTGGACCCCACTACAGCTGGTCAATGGGCAACAACACTGCTGCTGCGCCATCCAGCTAAAATTAACAGTGCCGGACTGATTGTCTTTAAATAGAGTACAATTTTCCTTTATTTAAAAGAGGAGAAATACCATATCCACAATTAAAGTCCTCAAAAGTCTTTTCAAGTAAAAGGTATAAAAGTATTCCAAAGTGAATGTACTTATTAGTGCTTATTCTGTATAACAGATACATGTCAGTTCTTGCGTGCATTCGGTCCTTAATAAATTCATCTCTATACATCATGTCAAAGTATTGGGTGTTCCAGTTATGCTGGCTGTGACTACATTAACAAATTGGAAAACATGACATTTGAAAGTGCATTATTTTCAATGTCAAAATGTATTGTATTTTTCTCAGTAACTTGTAACTGATAATTAACAATAAATACAATAAGGATTTGAAATTAAGGGGAGTAAAAGTACAAACACCCATAAAAAGAAAATACTCAACCTCAACATTTGACGTAAGTAAAGTACTTGAGTAAAATAACCCCTAAGTGGGGTCACTAAAACAAAACTGAGAAATATCTTGGAGCTTTTTTTCTGATCCACATTCTGGACTGAAATTACACTAATTTAAGATTCTGTAGAGATCTCATCTTTTGATCAGAGTAAGACAGAGATGAGTTTTTTGCTCCTGAGGCCAATATGAGAAAACCAAGACATATTTGAGAAGAATCATGAGATCCTAGGAGACATAGCTGAGTTTTCTTTGAGCTCTTTCTCTGATCTCATGGTCCAATGTTCAGGAGACTTAAACAAGACTTATTTAAGATCAGTTAGAGATCTCTTGTTTTGATCAGAGTCAGACAGAGATGAGTTTTTATATGGTTGTTTCTCCTGAGATGAATTTGAGAAGTGGGAGAAAAGGCCTTTGGTCTCTTGGTACTAAACCTTGGTATTAAAAGCAGCTCATCTGTGTATAGGAGAAAAGAAGGAAACAACTATGAGATCTCATCTTGGATTTTGCTTTCCTATGGGATATTACTGTGGGTGTTGTGGTAAGTGTTGATTTTAGCCTGCAAGAAATGTTGTAATGGTACAAAGCAAATGTGGAGCGATTTGTTTATACTAGCCTTGATGCAAGGCAGGAGAAGCCAGCTAGGTTAGCACGATCTGCCACTGATACTCAAGTATACAGCTTTTCCACTGTCTCAGTCACTGTAACTTATGTGATCCACATTATATACAATAATGCAACATAACAGCGCAGGAAAACAAGAGTGGAAGACCCATTCACTACAGCAGTGTTACTTACTGCGGTCTAACTGTTATGAAGTATGGCAACAATCTCATTATACATATACTCTATGCTAGCTCACTAACGGTTTCGTTATCATCCTATACATTTAGCTGTGCTCACATTGCTGAGCCTCTAGTGAAAGATACACAAATAGTTATGTTAGTTAGCCTTCTGAAAATCAGCAGGCGAGCTAACGTCGATGTATCATGTTGGCTAAATGCAGCAAATGTAACATTATCATGTAACGAGCATGAATTATTTCAACTCAAGCTGATAAAATTATTACTATAACGTTGCAGTGGGAGTTTACCTGAGTTTACAGCATGTTGTGTGAGGCTGTCTCTCTATATGTCTGTATATCGCTGCTTTCACAATGCCTTATTTTCCGGCTGTCTGAAAGGGAACATTATGGAGCCGAAAATGGGTTTGATTTGATCTGCCTCTGAGCCAGGAATGTTGGTAGTAACAGAGCAGAGAGGAACATGCCTGTGTGAAAAGCCAAAGCCCAGCATGTCGGTGTTTCCGTGTTTATTGTGGGAATTGGACCACTAGTGGCCGCTGAAAACTACATATTAAAGTATAAACATCCCAGCAGTTTTTTTCAATTGATCACAGACTGGTTTCTGAAACCTTTGCCACAACTGATACTGTTGATCATCCTACAGTAGATGTTTAGATTCACAATGAAGGTGAAGGTCATGTTGGCTGCTGCAATACATCATTATAAACTAACTAATTAAAACAAAACTCTTACCTTTAACTGTTATTTGAAGAGGATCACAAGATGCTGTTGCCACAAATGGTTTGTTCTCTATTCTGAAGAAGTATGTGTTTGTATAACTTGTGTTTAAACTGGAAAACAGAGTGGTGCAGTTTTTCTCACTCAGGTTTCCAGTAATGCTCATTGGATAGGTGTTAACTTTCCCACGACTGTTGAAAATCACATTGTTTGAATTGATGCCAAACCTGTAGTCACTTTTAATCCACACTCCGAAGGTTTCTCTTCTGCTGTCAAAGTCTTGTTCTGATTTAGCTCTAAAGTTACATGGGATTTGCAAACAAGATCCACTCAGTGCTTCCATCTTCTGTGGTGCAGTGATGAAGAGGGCTACTGGCTCAGAACAAGCAGCCCAAACCAGATGATTAACAAAATGTGAAGCAAAATCTGCACAAAGAGAACGTTCATGATAAACAAAGCAGCAGTATGTTGCCTGCTGTTTTTCCCTGACCTGTTAACATTTTCTTTATAAAACATCAACCTCAACAGGACATAAACAGTCAAAGTAACGAAATGATTCAAGTATCATCTCCAAAAACAGAACTAAGAGCTCACCTGAAACAAAGAGGACACTCAGTAACATGCTGCTTGTCACCATATTTACAGACAGAAACCTGGATTTGCAAACACAATAACACTGTTACTTCTTAGTTATATTAATCATACCACTTATTAAGTTTTTACAAATCATTCATTGTCTTTAAAAGCAACTTCCCTACTTCCCTAAATTTACACCGGTAACCAGCCCTGTACGATTCTGATTCAGAGTTCATAGTTCAGTGTATTTATAAGTAGTGATTAACCAGAGCTTTGCTTTAAAATCCATTCCCTTTTTTTTTCAGTTAAAGTAAAAGAAAAAGTTATGTACTGTCAGGGCAGTGCATGACGAATATAAACGAAAACAAAATTAATATTTTAGTTTAGGAAGTGGAGAAAAAAAGGAGTAAAATGTTTCCTTACCAAACGAGCCCAGAGCTAGAAAATAAATAAGAAATTGTTGGTTGTTGATGAGTGTGATGGGTTTGGAGTGAAATAAGATTATTTGTCAGCAGAACTGCAACAAACCAGATAAACTCGCTGTTGTAATATGGGAGAAAGAGGATTTTCAGTTCACTTTTTGTGTTGCAAAGCTGCCAGATATCACATGACAGTTTTGTCCTTGCTCACTCATATCCTGTGAGAAAAAAAGTCAGATATTACATCATCTTTAAATCTAAAAATGACTTGTTCATCTTCTTAGATTTTTATTTTTACTGTAACTCACAATAATAATGACCTATGACTTCTCACTCCTGCACTTCACAAGTCACATTATGTCAGCAGTCATTGACACAGTTACACATGTAGCATGTACAGCTACGTATGATTTTTAATAAATTTATGAGAATACCCAGTTATGAAGTCTCGGGACCTCTGGGTAGCATTGTTAATTATTCAATTATTCCTAGTGATCAGTTAGTTAATAATCGCTCAATTATCTTAAATCAGCCAGTCAGTCTCATATCCAAAGGGTCAATTCTCTTGGCAGGGACGTGGAGATAGTCAACACACACAGTTCCTTGATTACAGTGAATTTATTAACTAACTAAGGTGATATAAAAATGCGGGTAAATACATCAGAGAAATAAACAATGGCTAAACAATGAGAATGAAGGTCTATTGTGGGAGAATTTGACTCATACGGCAGCTAATGATTGCAATTAGATGATAACTCTGTTAAATTTGTCTAGGAGTTTCAAGGATTACATACAGTGGGTACGGAAAGTATTCAGACCCCTTTAAATTTTTCACTCTTTGTTTCATTGCAGCCATTTTCCAAAAATCAAAAAAGTTCATTTTATTTCTCAGTAATGTACACTCAGCACCCCATCTTGACAAAAAAAATTTTTTGCAAATGTATTAAAAAAGAAAAACTGAAATATCACATGGTCATAAGTATTCAGACCCTTTGCTCAGTATTTAGTAGAAGCACCCTTTTGATCTAATACAGCCATGAGTCGTTTTGGGAAAGATGCAACAAGTTTTTCACATCTGGATTTGGGTATCCTCTGCCATTCCTCCTTGCAGATCCTCTCCAGTTCTGTCAGGTTGGATGGTAAACGTTGGTGGACAGCCATTTTCAGGTCTCTCCAGAGATGCACAATTGGGTTTAAGTCAGGGCTCTGGCTGGGCCATTCAAGAACAGCCACGGAGTTGTTGTGAAGCCACTCCTTCGTTATTTTAGCGGTGTGCTTAGGGTCATTGTCTTGTTGGAAGGTAAACCTTCGGCCCAGTCTGAGGTCCAGAGCACTCTGGAAAAGGTTTTCGTCCAGGATATCCCTGTACTTGGCCGCATTCATCTTTCCCTCGATTGCAACCAGTCGTCCTGTCCCTGCAGCTGAAAAACACCCCCACAGCATGATGCTGCCACCACCATGCTTTACTGTTGAGACTGTATTGGACAGGTGATGAGCAGTGCCTGGTTTTCTCCACACATACCGCTTAGAATTAAGGCCAAAAAGTTCTATCTTGGTCTCATCAGACCAGAGGATCTTATTTATCACCATCTTGGAGTCCTTCAGGTGTTTTTTAGCAAACTCCATGTGGGCTTTCATGTGTCTTGCACTGAGGAGAGGCTTCCGTCAGGCCACTCTGCCATAAAGCCCCGACTGGTGGATTGCTGCAGTGATGGTTGACTTACTACAACTTTCTCCCATCTCCCGACTGCATCTCTGGAGCTCAGCCACAGTGACCTTTGGGTTATTCTTTACCTCTCTCACCAAGGCTCTTCTCCCCCGATAGCTCAGTTTGGCCGGACGGCCAGCTCTAGGAAGGGTTCTGGTCGCCCCCAAACGTCTTCCATTTGAGGATTATGGAGGCCACTGTGCTCTTAGGAACCTTAAGTGCAGCAGAAATTTTTTTGTAACCTTGGCCAGATCTGTGCCTTGCCACAATTCTGTCTCTGAGCTCTTCAGGCAGTTCCTTTGACCTCATGATTCTCATTTGCTCTGACATGCACTGTGAGCTGTAAGGTCTTATATAGACAGGTGTGTGGCTTTCCTAATCAAGTCCAATCAGTATAATCAAACACAGCTGTACTCAAATGAAGGTGTAGAACCATCTCAAGGATGATCAGAAGAAATAGACAGCACCTGAGTTAAATATGAGTGTCACGGCAAAGGGTCTGAATACTTATGACCATGTGATATTTCAGTTTTTCTTTTTTAATACATTTGCAAAAATTTCTACATTTCTGTATTTTTCTGTCAAGATGGGGTGCTGAGTGTACATTACTGAGAAATAAAATGAACTTTTTTGATTTTTGGAAAATGGCTGCAATGAAACAAAGAGTGAAAAATTTAAAGGGGTCTGAATACTTTCCGTACCCACTGTATGCTGGACTAACCAACTATTGGACATCACTGACCACAGAATGTAGGGTTTTGGTCTTACTGCTTGTGTTTCTCCCCGCCGATTGTTGGTAAAACGGCCCCACACTGGCAGAGTCCGTGCATTCTCAGTTAGGACAGCTTAAACCTGTCGGCCAGTCGGTTTCTTTGCCAGGGAATTGCTCCGGGGGTCTGTCTCTTGTCGGCTTTAATGGAGAAACTTGCAGTGTGGCCTTCCCAACCCTGTCTCGAGTCAGAGGTGTTAGTCGTCCTTTGTTACTGCTGGCGGGCCACATGGGGACGTCCGACCTCCGTGGGCTTAGCTCAACACATAAAGCTTAAAAAGAACTTGGTCGTTCTTGAATTAACTAGTGTAACTTAACGGACTGATAACTTTTAACCAACAAAAAGAAAGAAAATAAAAACAAGTAAAGTTGCTGTTAAATGAGGGAAAAATCGATGTTGCGGCACTTTGCGTGTGTAGCTTCAAACGAAACAAAGCTTTTGTTGCACCGGGCCGAACTCTTAGGGCGTTGCCGGGAGAGGGGCATGTCGGGCGCGTGCCAAAGCGCCGTTGAAGAGCCCGGAACAAGCCGGCAGACAAGAGGGAAGCGTCAAGAGAGAGTGAACAACAGCGTGTGTCGCTGTTTTGTCTGTTGGGGCGTGGTTCCCAGAGGGCAATCCTTCGTTTCCCGGAGGGGCGGGCTGTTTCCGGTTTCCCGAGGGACTGTCTTTCTAAAGTTTTAATATTTCTCTAGAAAAGAAAGAAAGAAAGAAAATCTATTTGCGCGTATTATAATCAAATATCTTCCCACAATCAAACCTCAATTGTCAAACGTTTGTACCGTTCTTAGTTTTAAGCACTTGATAAGGGAAACAATTGTCAAATTATTGGTCATGATAAATACCGAGTGACATTTATACACGAGGATAGCTCTGATTAATCCTAAAACAATCTTTGCTCAGGAACTGGGAAATTTGCTTACTTAACCTTAAATTCAAGCTGGCAATTAATAGAGTATAGGATGACATTTCTTTATCATCATTTCTAAAGGAAGTGTCAGAAAGTATTGTGAACAAGCATTGGTTACACGTAAAATGAAGGAATGTCATTAACATTGCTGAAAATTAAAACACTGCAAAGGTAACTTATTTAGATTCTTTTCAGCAATAATATCAACAACAGATAGCAACATATTGGGGGGCAATCAGGGGGGCAGTTTAGGGTTTCCTGTCCCCTCTTAAGGAGAGTTTTGATAGGCTGTTTGTAATCTCTGGTTAGTTTCTTTGTCATTTTAACAATTCTTGGCGCCGAGAGGCTTATCTCGGCTGTTGCCAAAGTTGGCCAGTTTTACGATCAACTATCCTGGAATAGCACTTAGGGAAAGCGACCTTTCAACCCCCCCTCTTGTGGGGTCTCTTCAGCCGTCTGTAGAGGGTTGATAATCAAATCCCCTCCTCCTTCTCTCTGGGAGAGAAAACAGGAGTTGAGTCTCCAAATTATTTAATATAAAATGCACAAAGCCACACTGTTGGTTCACAACACACAGCTATCGTGAATCTGCTGCATGTGTATGTTCCCTAATCCAATGGAAACATCAGGTAATCACAGAAAATGAATTACATAGACTCAATATCTGTTTGATATCTTAAGAACAATTCGCTTAACATAACATCACATAAGAAATTATTATAGAAGATGTTTTTATTGTTATGCTCACTTTAAGCAAAGAAAGACTTACATAAAAATATTATTCACCCAAGTCTGGGGTCATCTTTAAAAATAATACTATTTAGTTTTTGCTGGCTTAGAGAAAATGTCACACTTTATCGTAAGTGGTACTAAGACTAAGACATGAATCCACAACAGACAATACAGTTTGTCGTTCCATTTATAGTGGACATGACATCTTCCTCCTCTCTTTGTGACTCATGATGACCCAGTCACTGTGTTGACATAGTATGCTTCTACTGTGTCCTGTTGAAATGAAACAAGAGAAAGGGCTATTAGTACTCTGCAGTGAAGTTAATGCAGCTCAAAGTTTCATCGATCAGACTGATAGCCCTGTTTATAGCACTGGGACTTTTCCCTCCCCTGCAGCTTTACTCATCTTCCCCGAAACATGTGAATCACAATAATCTAATAACCACCCCAATCACTGGCAGCGATGAAACCTCCCAGAAAGCACCTGGTAACTTCTCACGAAACAAAATCACTACTGTATCCCTCCAGGGTCACATCCGCTGGCCTTTTAGTAATATTAAAAAGGTATCTGGTTCCAGTCACATTATCTACTTGTAGCACCACTGGTTTGCCAAGTATTGAAAACTGCAGCCCTAACAAGACCAAGACATATTGATTTTCACCCTTCCTCTGGAAGGTTATCACATAGTGCAGCGATTACTGTAACTGAAGTGTCTAATCTATTAGACCTGTATGGAGGTCACTTAGTAAAAATATTCGAGCTTGAGCTCACTAGATCCAGAGTCACTGAACAATTCAAGCAAAGTTTGTGTCATAACTCTGACAGAGCTTTAGATTTGAAAAGTTTTTATTAACTTTTAAAGCACTGTTATACAAGCAGGAACATTGTTGCTGTCTCAAGCAATGAGTGAAAGACTGAGGGTGACAGAGGCTTTGCTTTCAAATCTTCTAAGCTGTGAAAGGACTTTATTAATTAATTAATTAATATTATTAATTGTTTTCTTTTCATTTTATTGATTACTATCAAATTGTAAA